GTGCCTCCCACTCCCAACTCCACCAGGCGCCGCAGCATGATACCGTGGTCCACAGTATCAAAAGCTGCTGAGAGGTCCAAAAGAACTAGGACAGAGGAATGACCCCTGTCCCGGGCCCTCCAGAGATCATTCACCAATGTGACCAATGCCGTTTCCGTGCTGTATCCCGGCCTGAAGCCCGACTGGAGCGGGTCTAGATGATGTCGGTAGTTTGGCCTGACGAAAGCTTAGTGACTCTTTTTAACCACAGGGTCTCTCTCTTTGTCTCTGTCTGTCTCTCCCTCCATCCCTCTCTCTCTCTCTCCCTCCCTCTTTCTCTCTCCCTTCCTCTCCCTCTTTCTGCCCTTGGTCTGCCAGTCCTCTTCCCCCACTCTGTGTGTGTGTGTGTGTGTGTGTGTGTGAGAGAGAGAGAGAGAGAGAGAGGCACTTGTGCTTCCCCCTCTCTTTCTTTCTCTTTCTCTCTCTTTCCTCTCTCTCCTCTCCCTCTCTCTCTTTCCTCTCTTTCTTTCTCTCTCTCTCTCCCTCTCTCCTCTCCCTCTTTCCTCTCTCTTTCTCTTCTCTCCCTCTCTCCCTCTTTCTCTTTTTCTCTTTGCTCTCTTTCTCTCCCTCTCTCTCTCTTTCTCTCTCCCCCCCCCCTTTCTCCCACTCTCCGATCTTCTGTTCACCTGGCAAGCTGGCTTCAGGCTGTTCTGCAACAGGCTGGCTCTCTCCTCTCCTTCCTGCTTCCTGCAGAGACGCAGCAAAGGAAGGAGCCCCGCCCAATAAGCTTATCAGCTTATCAGCTCATCGAACAGAACTCTCTTTTTTAGAGAGAGAGAGAGAGAGAGAGAGAGAGGTGCAAGTGCCTCTCTCTGTCTCTGTCTCTCTCTGCAAATGGCAGAAGAGGCTGGGAGCCACAGGAGAAGGCTCAAAGAGCCGCATGAGACTCCGGAGCTGCAGGTTGCTGACCTGTGGTATATGATAAGCACTTGAATAACTACAGTTACAGGCAAACAGGTTATTTTTATGTCGAACATAGGAATGTCCTAAAGGAAACAATAATTAAACTTGGATTTCCTGTACTATAGAATACAACTGACACTGTAAAGCTTTGTTTGTGGAATTAGTAGGATTTCTTAACAGATTAGGAAAGCAGTTAGCTTCTTAAAAGATTTCTCCTAATTTAATGTAAAGTGTAAAATCCCCTAGATGTTGTCTGTGCATTGTTGTATTAATAACACTTTTTGAAATTATTTGTCTTAGGTGGCAGTTGTGCAGAGAACGATTGTGCTTTTGAACCAGAGTATGCTATCCCAACACTCACAGTGCCTGAAGGTATGCAGCACATTCGAATTATGGAAGGCATGTCCCGCTCTCTCCCATCTTCCCCATTACTAACACATCAATCTATCAGTGTTCGACTCCAGCCTATGAAGAAATTGACTGGTAAGGAATTTAAATTAATAAATTCAAATTGTTGAATAAAGATTCTCATCCTCAATTCCCCCCTCCCAAAGCTGCACTGATGATTGCCTGACTTCTGTAGCTTAAATTAACTAAAGTTATATTGCACTTGTCTTATATCTGTTTTACTTCTGTCAATAAAAAAATTGAACAAAATAGCTATTCTAATATTTTGCTGAATGCCCAGTCAGTGAATGATCATGATTCTGATTTGATATGCATGACACAGTTTTGCCCACCTAAGTACTTCCTACAATAATAGGTAAGACCTGAAGGAGCTGTGTTCATCATTCTAAAACCAGGTATGTACATCACCTTGCTATCTTTGTGAGTTGAATGTTCACATGTGAAGGGACAGAATGGGGATCCCAAATCCCTTTTCTACAATGCAGTTTTCAGGGTTTATCCTTTGGAATGACATCTTGTATTTGGAAAGCTCAGAATTTCAGGATATCCATAGTAACCATGATGCTATTCCTATTTAGATGTGATGCCAGTCATTTAGTAGGGCATAAAGTAATTCTAAACAACAGATAAAATTTTGAGTGAATTTAAATAAATGGGCTAGAACCAAGTTTAATAGGTTGGGAGGTACTATACTGTCGTAGTGGGAATAGCATATAACAATGAGACCCAAACTTTCCCCCCCCAAATAGTTCTAAACATTCATATAACAATGATCCTGAATTATGATGGCCTGTAAAGCACTTCTGGCCATCACAAAATGTCCTGCAGTCATGTGATCATGATTTGGGCACTTGGCAGCCTATTCACACTTTTTTTTTTAATTGAAAATTTTATAAAATTTTACAATATAAATCCCCCCCTTCCCCAACCCACCCCTCCACTCCCCCCTCCCTCCCCCTCACTTCCCAGTGCCAATCACAGGGTTAACAATAAAATAATCATACTCTAAATAACATTATCAACTATTAAAATAACATATCTATAACCTCCTTTAACTCTCTTTTAAACCAATATATACAGTTACTAAAAACAATAATAATAACATCACTTTAATAATCAAAAATAGTACTAAATAACCTATTCTAACCTTGGTACAAAATAACACTCTAAAATTCACTCAAAAACCAAATGATATTTTTTGGTCCCATATTTGCGCTCAATATAATCTATCCATCTTCTCCAAACTAAAATATATCTTTCTTGTGAATAGTCCTTCACATAAGCGGAAATCTTGGCCATTTCTGCTAAGTTCGAAACTTTAAGTGACCATTCTTCTATAGTAGGTAAACGTTCCGTTTTCCAGTATTGAGCTACTAGTAGTCTTGCAGCAGTTATAAAGTTCAACATCAATTCCATTTCTTTTGCATCCAAGTCTTCCATAATACCCAACAAAAATATCTGCGGCTTAAACTTTATCTTTTTCTTAAAAATATTTTGAATATTCCACCATATCTTAATCCAAAATGCTTTAACTTCCCTACATGTCCACCAAATATAAAAATAAGTTGCATCTAAATTTCCACATCTCCAACACTTAGGTTGTAGATTAGGATACATACAAGACAACTTTTGAGGATCCAGATGCCACCTATAAAACATTTTATAAAAATGTTCCCTTAAATTTTGAGCTTGAGTAAATTTTACATTTCTAACCCAAATTATCTCCCATTTGTCCAATAAAATTGGTTCTTGTATATTTTGTGCCCATTTTATCATACAATCCTTAACCAATTCTGTTTCTGAATCCAATTCAATCAATACATTATAAATTCTTTTAATATGAGCTTGAGATTGATCTTTAATCTGTTTCATCAATTTGCATCCTGTAAAGTAATACCAACTTTTTGATCCATACGCCACCTCATTAACAATTGATTATAATAAAACCAAGAGTATTCAATATTTTCTTGTTTCAAATCTACTAGAGATTTAAGCTGCCAGTCTTGTCCTACCGGACGAAGTAATTCCTTATAAGAAACTTTAGCCAAGTTAACCCCCCTAGATATCCCCTCTAATACCTGTCCTGGAGTTGCCCAGATAGGAATTTTGTAATTTAATTTATAATAATAAATAGAGCACTCCTTAAAATATGAACCTTAAAATTTATATCTACCTTTTTATCATAGATTAAATATGCCTGCCAACCAAATAATAGATCCCATCCTTCAAGAGAAAGTATATTCTTATTTGTTAAATTTAACCAATCACTAATCCATGTCAAAACCACCGCATCATAATACAATTTTAAATTAGGGACTTTAAGTCCTTCTCATTCCCTTATATCTTGCATAATCTTAAACTTAACTCTTGGTTTCTTGCCCGCCCAAATGAACTTATTAATACCCTTCTGCCAGTCCTCCAAATTAGCATCTTTTTTTAAAATAGGGATCATTTGAAACAAAAAAAGAAACTTTGGAAGAATATTCATTTTTACTGCTGAAATTCTCCCCAACAAAGATAATTGCAATTTTTTCCAATCATTTAAATCTTTTTGAATCTTAACCCATAAAAGCTCATAGTTATTCTTATACAATTTAACATTAGAAGCTGTAATATAAACTCCCAAATACTTTACCTTTTTAACCAATTCAAAACCTGTAAGCGTAACTAACATATCCTTATCATTCATAGACATATTTTTCGGTAATATTTTAGTCTTATTACAGTTAACCTTAAAACCAGAAACCTTCCCATATTGTACAATAATTTCAACCAAGTCAATTACCGATTCTATTGGCTGAGTTAATGTTAACACTAAGTCATCTGCAAAAGCTCTAAATCTATAATCAATCTTATTAACCTTAATTCCTTTTATTATAGAAGACTCTCGAATTTTAATTAACAAAATCTCCATTGTTAACACAAATAACAATGGAGATAATGGACATCCTTGTCTAGTTCCTTTTTCAATTTTAAATGCTTCTGTTACCCCCCCCCCCCCATTAACTATAATCTGTGCTGACTGCTGCTGATAAATAGCCTTAAGGGCGGACACAAATTTTTCCCCAAAATTCATTCTATCTATAACTTGAAACAAAAAAACCCAGTCTAATTGATCAAATGCTTTTTCAGCATCTAAAAATATAAAAGCAGCAGGAATTTGATTGTTCTTATCCAAATATTCAATTAAATTAATAATTTGTCTTACATTATATTTCATGTATCTTCCAGTTATAAATCCAGATTGATCAGTATGAATCAATTGGCTCAACACTTGCATTAATCTATTTGCCAGTATTTTTGAAAAAATCTTATAATCTGTATTCAATAAAGATATAGGTCTATAATTCTTAGGTTGAGTCAAGTCCTGACCCTCCTTTGGTATTAAAGATATAAAAGCAGTTCTCCAAGAAGGAGGTATCTCTTCACCCAACAAAATACTATTAAACAATTCCCTTAGCGGTTCTATCATTTCTTCAGATAACATCTTATAATAAATTGCTGTAAATCCATCTGTACCTGGTGCCTTACCAAGTTTTAGTTGCTTAATTGCCCCCTTAATCTCCTCCAATGTAATTAAGCAATTCATTTTTTCCCTTTGATTATCTGACAATCTAGGAAAATGTGCCTGCTGTAAATAATCATCTTGTATTTTTTCAGAAGCATATAACTTAGAATAAAACTCCAAAAAACTCTTTTTAAGCAAGTTTTGTTGAGATGTCATTTTACCATTATAATCTATTTTCTCTATCATTCTTGACTTCTGCTTCTTTCGTAATTGATAGGCCAACCACCTTCCTGGTTTATTTGCATTAGAAAATGTATTATATTTCATGTACCTTAAGCTAGTTGCCGTCTGGTCTGCTATTAACGTATTAAATTGCTCCCTAAGCACAGTAATAGATACTTTTAAATTATTATCCAATGGATTCAAAATAAAGGCCTGTTCTTTCAATTTAATCTCTTCCTCTAACTCTTTACGTTTTTGCATTTGTTTACGCCTGTGAACATTATTCATATAAATCAAATTACCTCTCATATATGCTTTACTAGCATCCTAGACCATTGAAATTGATGTACCTTTATGCATATTCAACAAAAAAAATTCTTTCAATTGTTCTCTACATTTCTGTAAATTTATGTCATATCTAAATAAATTTTCATTCAGTCTCCAAGTTCTTCTATTCCCTTCTTCAGCAAGTAATTCCATCCATACCGGGCTATGATCTGACAATGTCCTGGGAAAAATTGTAATATTCTTCACCCTAGAACAAAAATCATTAGTAATTAAGAAAAAATCAATTCTAGAATAAGATTGGTGCCTGTCCGAGAAAAAAGTAAAATCCCTTTCTTCCATATTTCTCTCTCGCCATATGTCTTCTAATTCCAATTCATCCTTCAAGTCAAAAAAAGTTTTAGGCAATGTTGAATTAAACGTTTTGCAAGAGCCTTTCTTATCTTTTCTTGAATCTAAAACACCATTCCAATCCCCCATCATGATAATTGATTTATAATCCAATTGATTTAGTTTCCGATATAACAATTTATAAAACTGTTTCTGCTGTTGGTTTGGGGCATATAATCCAATAATAAGACATTTCTTCCCATTCAATAATATTTCAACAAAAACATATCTTCCTTCTGAATCAGCATCAATCAATTTAGGCTGAAAATCTTTCCTGACATAAATAACTACTCCCCCTCTTTTCTGCGGTGCAGGTGCCATAAAATGTATGCCCAACCGTGAATTAGACAAATATTTTTGATCTTTAGCTGTAATATGAGTTTCTTGTAAACAAACAACATCATTTTTATGTTGTTTCAAATAATAAAATATCTTTTTTCTTTTCTGTGGAGAATTTAGACCATTAACATTCCAAGTCAGAAACCTTGCCATCTTTAGTGGCAGTGAGCCTCTGGAACGCTCCTTGTAAATCAGCTGTTACTGATTTCTTCAGCCTCGC